TGATGTTTCTTGCTTTGAAAGAAAGAGGTGTGAAGGAATAAATAAGAAATGGAAGAGGTGCTTCTCAAAGCGATTGCGCAGGCGACACCATCATATGTGACGTCTGTTTATAAAATCCCAAAACAAATCTGCAAAGGGATCACCGACGGTTATGTCGCAATATTGGTGGGGCGATGATGCGGATCAAAGACGGATGCATTGGCTAGCTTGGTGGAAAGTGTGCATCCCGATTAAATTTGGAGGAATGAGATTCAGGGATATCCATTGCTTTAACCTTGCCTTGTTAGCTAAACAAGCATGGAGACTAATTGAGAATCCTGATTCTCTCGGTGCTACTATTTTGCATGCATGGTATTTTCCATTAGGAGATTTATTAAACGCCGAATTAAAAAAGGGGAGCTCCTTTACATGGCAAAGTATATGGGCTGGGATTAATACATTAAAACGTGGTCATATATGGCATGTGGGTGATGGAACTAATATTGATATCTGGAAAGACGAATGAATCCCTGATAGTGCATCACGTAAAGTTATAATAACTAGAAGGGGCGAGAACATTCCTAATAGGGTGAGCGACCTTATTGACCCTAACACAAATCATTGGGATGTGGATCTAGTGAGGTAGACTTTTTGGCAAGTGGATGTTCAAAAGATTCTTGCTATTCCTTTATCATCTTCTGGCATGCAAGACTTTGTTGCTTGGAACCTGACTCGTACGAACACCTTCTCTGTGCGTTCAGCATATTATGCAGAATGGGAGGGTCAATATGGCCAAAGGTTAAACATAGGCCATCAAGCATTTGGTATCAAACCACATCCAATTTGGGATAAAATTTGGGGTCTCAAAGTGCCCGCAAAGGTCAAAATCTTTCTTTGGAGAGCTATGCATAATACTATTCCTTGTCGGGTTGCCCTGGCGAACCGCCATATCAAAGTGAGTGGGCAGTGCCCAGTATGTAAGATTGGAGCGGAAGACATTAAGCATCTCCTGTTCAAGTGTAGCTGAGCAAAGCACGTACGACATTCATGAATTAGTTGAGAGATCTTATCTTGTTCATTGTCCAGGATAGTCTGTTTTAGAGGAATTGTTGTACTCGAGCCCTGATCAGTCACTGGTTTTGGGACAGGCCCCATTGCCAAAGCTTGTTGTGATGGCCTGTTGGTATCTATGATGGGAGAGGAGGGAAATTAGGCGTGATATTCAGGTGCAGTCCCCAGAAAGATCTGCGATGGCAATCAAAGTGTTATCCTCAAATTTCAAGTCTGCTGAAGTCCCTCATGCAAGGTTGAGAAAGGATAGATGGGCACCATCAACAGGTGATTGCGTTAAGATAAACGTTGATGCTTCTTTTGATCCATATATGTTAAGGGAAACTACAGATGCGGTCATTCGTGATAAAAAAGGGGAATTTCATCACCGCGTATAATGCACGTTTGGATATGGTTCAGGATGTTCTTTCTGCTGAGGCTCTCGCTCTCAAGCATAGTTTGTTCTTGGCTGAATCCGTGGGTTGTAATAGAGTTGTTATGAGTTCTGATAATAATGAATTAATAGAAATTATGACGAATGAGAGGCCTCCTACAGGTATTGCTGCAGCGATTCTTCATGATTGTTCTTTATGGAGCCAGAATTTGTTAGGGTCAAGTATGAGCATGCGAATAGGGAAACGAATTCTGTAGCTCATGAAGTAGCCCAGTTAGCTAAGTTCCAGGCCAGTAGGGTCTTTGGATGATCCTCCCCCTTCTATTGTACCTCTCATGGTGAACAATGTAACATTATTAAATAAGGAGGTCTTTTTGAGGTAAAAAAAATGGACTTGCATGGTTCCAGGGGAATTGGTTAGAATCACATCACCGGGCAACTTCTACCTTGTACTACCTTGAGCGTTCGTTATTTCCACTTGTAGGTAGATTGTTGATACTGACTGAGGCATCAATTGATGATCTGCTATGTAACTAATTAACGTGCATTTGGCATCTGAATCACCTACTTAATTTAGTAAAAAAGAAAATCTGTGGGTTATTCGTTTGAGATGGACCGCGGAAAAGTGCTCGGGGGAAGGGAAAGCCAACATACTCTGCTTGCTTCCTTGGCATCCGAAAATGCATGCATGGAAGCAGGTGATGTGCCTTTTTCTGATTTTGTTTATCGAAAATGACTTTCCGTTCCACCCACCGTCCATGCGTGCTGAAATTGCGTTCCACAGGCGCGCACGGACCAAAGGCATGGTCCAAGTCGTACGTGGAACTGAAATGAGAACTGCCAGATATTCCCTCCGTCCGAAAATACTTATCATTAAAATAGATAAAAATGGATGTATATCGGCGATCCTCAGTTGCATCACCTGCATGGAGGGCCGATGGCTGCTGGTCAGGTGTGGAAAGCGATGAGAGGCTACGTCTTTTGTGATCGTTTTCTGCATGCTGAAATTCCATTCCACGCTCACGCTCATGTGTCTTCTTCTTCGTCGTCAATAGGCGTGATGTGATTCGACGGGCGGCTCGGAAAATATGGACCATGCTTGCAAATTAATAGCTTAAGGATATTCTAGTTATGGGAAAATATGGACCATGCTTGAAAAGGCAACTACAAAAATCACTACATTTTGAAAAATAACATAGTTTTTTTTTGCGAGTAACTTAGGTTTATTATTGGCTAAAGAGATTTGTTTTTTTTCTAGACGCACAAAAAAATTAGGATCCAAATAAGTAAAGGAAATAGAGATTAATAATAATAAATTGATACTACTATTATCTATCTCAATTTTGGTAAAGAAAAAAGTCCATTTTACTCCCCTGAATAAAGTGGGTGGTTCACTTTACCCCCTGATTTTTATTTCTGTTCCCTTACCCCCCTCAACAAACCCAAACCGGACCGAAAACCCCCCAGGCTGGGTTTTCTCCCCCAGTGCTGATGCGAGCTGCGAGAGGACGGAGGCGAACAGATAGTGGGTGGCGGCGATGCGTGGGAGACGATGGGGAATCGGGAGGAGGGTCTAGCCACAGGTCGAGGAACAAGGTCCTAGGGTTAGGTTTTATACGGGAGTCGCTAGGCGGGCTTTAGCGGGCTTGGCGAGCTGTACCGGGCCATCGATGACAGTTTGTGCAACTGTCATGAGAAATCAGTCATGGATTAACACATTTCTTGTAGTGCCCCAGGGGGCGCCTAAAATCGCCGCCTGGGGGTGACCCGGCGCAAAAAATGGGCCTGGGGCCGAGTTTGTCCCCAACCGCCGCCCCAGGGCCGCCCCCCAGGCGCGTTCAAAAAATAAAAATATATAGCAAATTTAGGCAAAGTTCCGCTAAACACGACAAATTTCGACAAACTTGAGCATATATTAGACATGTTCGCGGATTTTCATTACATACATAGCAAATATCTAAACTAATCTAAAAAAACTGGCTGAACGCCGAGTAGTTGCCGTCGTCGCCGCCATCGTTGGCCTTCTCCTCCTTGACGCGGGCGCCCCTGCTGGACCCCTCCCCGGCATCGCCATGGTAGACTGGTGGTAGCGGCGGCGCGTCGTCGTCGTCGTTGTCGTCGATGACGATGACTCCTCCTTCGTCAGCGCCGCAGGGCGGCGCACTGGCGCTCCCTCGCCATCTTCAGGGAGTCCTGGCGTGCCCATTCAAGGGCCATGTCGTCGTCGAGCTCGACCTCGCCGGGCTCCATTTTCACGGCGGGGAGCCCCGGCTCCGTCTTCACCGGCGCGAGCCCCGGCTCTGTCTTTGGCTTGACGAAGCGCGGAGGAGGAGCCGACGAGGAGGCGCGCCGGCCGCCCTCGTTGATGACGATGCCGGCGCTGCGAGTGTGCCGGCCGAGCGGCGTCTCCGCCGCTGGCTCGGCCTTGACGCCGAGCAGCGTCGGAGTGCCGGAGGAGTGGGAGGAAGAGCACGAGGAGGAAGAAGAGGAGGAGGAGCCGAACCTCGTTGGCGCCCATTGCCCGTCGCGTTGGCGGTGCGCCGGGGCGGCCGCCCTCGCCGGGGGGGGGGGGTACGTCAACGACGGGTTGTTGCCGCCCTCGAGGTGCGTCAACAGGTCCTCAAGTGTGTGGCCGGGGACGCCCCACCACAGGTGGCGCCCCTCGTTGTTCTTCAGGCCTCCGAGCACCGCCGCGCCGTTGATGGACGCCAGCCGCCGCTGCTGACGGCGCTCGAAGTACGCCACCCAAGCCGCGTGGTTGTCGGCGGCGTACTGGGGAGGGAGAGCTGGGCGTCGGTGAGGGAGGCGCGCACGACCTCGACCTCGTCAACGAAATAGGAAGGTTTAGCCACGATGTTGGGCAACGGGGGAATGGGCACTCCCCAGTTGCTGAGCCTCCAGCCCGTTGGCCCGGCGCGCATGTCCGGCGGCGCCGGGATATTCGCTTGAAACAGGAGCCACGACTCCTGTTCGCGGAGCGTGCGGCGGCCGAAGTCGTTGACCGCCGCCTCGTCTTCGGGGAAACGGTCGTCCATCGGGAAAGGGGAGGGAGATGGAGGGGCTGGGCGGCGGCTCATGGGAAAGGGAGGGCTGGGGAGGGCTCGGCGGCGGCGCTCGGGAGGGCTGGGGAGGGCTCGGCGGCGGCGCTCGGGAGAGGTAGCGCTCATCAGAGACGAGCAAGCCCATATAGCCGCGCCGCGTCCGTGTGTACGCGTCCGAGGGAGGGGAGACGTCGGCGCACCGTCCCGTGACGCGCTGTCCGTGAGAAATCAATGGCAAGGCTGCAAACCGGTGCGTTGGAGACCCCCTTAGGACAACAGACAGACCCCCTCAGCTGAACGGCCCAGATTCCCGCGGAGGAGCATCGGCAGGCCCAACGAGATCGATTCCCTCCGCGGGCCCGCCAAAGAGCCAAGGGGAAAGAAAGTCGTGTCGAGTCCTCCGATGCGGCGGTCGCGTCACCGAACCAAGCAAATCTCCTCCTCCTGAAATTCCACCGGAACTCAACCACCGCTCTCCATCCAAGTCTCCCAAAGTCGTCGCCGAAGACTCCACCAGCACCAGCAGCGCCGCCGAGATGGGGGGCGGGGACGCGGGCCCGGAGGCGGCGGCGGCCGCCGCGGCGGAGCAGGAGGCCAAGCGGGCGGCGGCGGCGGCCTACGACTACGAGGCCGACCCGCGCTGGGCCGACTACTGGTCCAACGTCCTCGTGCCGCCGCACCTCGCCGCCCGTCCCGACGTCCTCGCCCACTTCCGCCGCAAGTTCTACCAGCGCTTCATCGTCAGTATCTCCATCTCCCCCCTCGCTCCGATTGGTTGGCGCCTAGGCCTAGCTAGTAGCAGCCCGAATCTGCCGCCGCCCCTCTGTGCCGCGGCTCGCTGAATCACGGCGGCCTAGTCGGGGTGCTTCACGGTCAGCCGCCTGCTCAGTAGTTGGTGGCGATCTGTTCCTGCTGCTCGTTTTGACGTCTTCAACTGCTACTCGGTAGCAGCTGAGATTAGCTAGAGGGAGGGGGATGCTGCAGCTCCTTTTGCTGCATCTCGAGATCCGGCTGCTCGCTTTGGTGCTGATTTGTGGTAGCTGAATTGGAGTACTCCCGGCAGGTCGCAGGCTGTATTCAATTGCGATCTGCAGGCGTTGCTTGTTTTAGGAAAATGGCACTTGGTCAGCTGTTGCTTGTTGCTACAATAGTTGATTAGCTAAGGGGAGGTCAGCTGTTGCTTGTTGCTACAATAGAATCCTCTGGTGCTCTCCCGATCGACCGGTTACTGCATCTCGAGCCTCAGCTCCAGATACGCTTGTTCGCTTGAACAAACCAGCTGTTTGGTAAATATATACATTTCCTTTTTACTGCATCTCGAGCCTCAGCTCCAGATAAGCTTGTTCACTTGAACAAACCAGCTGTTTGGTAGATATATACATTTCCTTCTTGCTGCCTCTCTGCGGGGTTGTGGTTGTTGACTCCATTTCGGACGTGGCAGAGTCTACAAAATGGCAAACACAGTTGTCCACTTGAATCTGGCCATTTCTGAATCCCCCCTGTGGGTTTGAATCATATCCTGCAAAGGATGGTGATATCTAAAGCTGGTTGGTTTGCTTTCTTTACTTAATATAAGATCATGATTTGTGGGTTGGGGATTGCTAAGGCTTCCCTGTCATAAGTTTGAAAGCGGTGTTTCCATCTGCTACTTACTATCTGATTAATGAGATGGAGCTGCTGTAACTTGATGTCACAACCCTCTGGCGCTCTCTGTCGCTGCATCTTGAGCTCAAGCTTGCTCCAACCTGTATTATTTCGTCAGCACGGAAACCTTAGTTAAATTGCTCAAATAAACCATCTGCTAAGTAGATGGAAGTTTTTCTTCCACTGTGCGGGGGGAGTTAGCGTTACTCCATGTCAAAAAGTTTAGGAAATTTGCCACTTGAATTTGGTTGATTATTTAATTACCGATATGAGTCATATCTTTCAAATCATGATAATGTCTAAATCTGTTTGGTTTGCTTTCTTGACTTGATAGGATCGTGATTTGGTGGTCGAGCCTATGTCAACCACTGGTTCCACTCAGCCGAGCAGGCCAGACATAAGGTCTTCACCTTCAGCATCCACTGAGAGTGTCAGGGCTCGCAATTCAGGTAAAATTATACTGCACTTTTACTAGCCATATAAGATCCAACGGTTTCAAAGACTGTGTTTGACAACTGAGTTCATACATATCATGTGTAGGTTCTAGTACCAGATCAGCTGCCCCGCCACCAGCAGCACCACAAGCAGGGGCTGCAAACCCTTTACGTTTCGATGCAAAGACTATACATTTCTCCGTAAATGCCTGGGTAAGGAAGAAGCCACCTTTCTCTTCACAGTATGAATGCGTAATTGTGTAATATTTGCTGAAAGGCGCAAATTCATTGGTTCTGGTTGCTCCTACACTTACGGCAGACCTTGTGGACAGCCTAGTTTGCTCCTACAATTACGGTGATCCTTGCGGACAACCTGACATGGCATCTCTCTTTTTAGTCTTCTCCTTATCAATACCTTCGTTCTACATTGGAAAATCATCTCTTATATATAAATGCTATACCAATGGTTTCGTTACATAACTTGCGCATGTTACCCTTGTTCTTACCTTTATCTCTTGCTTGTTGGTTCATTGTAGTTGAGCCTGACATGCTCAAACTTTTCCTGATCAGGTACTGGTTGTTGCTGGTCTGGGAATGCTTCCGATCTTACCAAAACATCTTGCAGACAGAGCTTGCAAGCTTTCATTGCTGGGAACAGTCCTCTCCTCAGGATATTCTTTATACAGTACTTATGGGGTAAAATACCTTCCTACCTGAACCTTGAATGGTCCATCCTATTTTTTCTGTGTTTCTTTCCCTGATGACCCTGTTGATCTAATTCACCTTTTTTTGTTTCTGTTGTGCATGAAGAAACCAAGAGAATTGAACATGGCTGCAATTCAGGGTTGGTTGCAGTCAGTACTTGGAGCCAAGGATTTTATCCATTTAATGTTCTCTTTGTTGCTCGTCACATCTCAGCTGCACTTAAAGAGTAATATACAGCTTTTCTCTTGCAAGTTCATGATTCTGATATCTGTTTACCGAAACTTTCACATGTATGTTTACAAGTTCCGATCATGTTGCCTTTTTTATTTCACAGTTGCTGCGCTACCTGTGTTCTGCTGGGCCCTTGATCATGTTGCCAGATTCCTAAGGCGTAACTTTTCTCGCTCATCTTTCTACAGGTAGTTATCTGTCAAATTATCTCTGAATTTCATTTGTGTAGTTTGCTGCGCAACCAGTCTCCACTGCCCTGTGGCTAACATCGTCTTTCTGTTATCTCGTTTAGGGGATACTTGGAAGAGCCTTGCCTTTGGGTGGAGACAAACAACACCACGCTCAGCCTCCTTAGCTCAAATGCCGAACTTGCCTTGGGGTTCCTTCTGATCATATCACTGTTCTCGTATGTTGCTCTGACTTTCCTCGGAATCATGGAGACTTTATTTCATCTTATTTAGTGCATCTTATGACTTACAACACCTTGTTGTCTTGCAGGTGGAGGCGCAACTTCATCCAGACATTCATGTACTGGAACGTAAGTCATCTTCTGCACATCTGATCTTTATATATGTTCTCACTGCTTCCATGCATTCAGTACATAGCTGGGGAATAAATAAGGTGAGGCACAATTTGATGTGTTTTGCGGCATGTTATCAAGCCATAGTTGAGTGTACACCTGCAATCATCAATCTTCAGCTAGCAGCACTTCCTTCAGCAGCTGCAACTTTGTTATGCTGATAGTTGCCTTTCCACTGCATCGTCACTTACTGGTCTGTGATTATTCAGGTGCTGAAGATGATGTACCGCGCGCCCGTGACATCCAGCTACCACCAGAGCGCGTGGGCCAAGATCGGGCGGACCGTCAACCCATACATCGACCGCTACGCCCCGTTCCTCCAGACACCCATCTCCATGGTCCAGCGGTGGTGGCTCAGGTAGCGAGCGGGACACGGAGGAATCTTGCATGCGAGGCCTGTGGGCTGTGGCGGAGAGGAGAAAAACATATATCTACTACTACTACTAACTAGCATCGACCTTCCCCGGCGATTTCAAACTATTACGCTTGATCGAGAGTCGGGACTCGAAACACGACGTGTACGTGGTTGTGTGCTTCATTCCCATGTTGGAGTGGTAGGCTTGACAATGAGATGGTTGGTCGACTTCGGCAGGTGGATGCACCTGACCTCAGTACCTCTACTGTGCGGTGCCGACCTTTCGGAAGGTGCCTTGGAGTGGCTTGAACTCGAATCACGGTGCGTTGACACCGAAGTCCCTGATTTGGGCCGAGTACTTTTGCCTTATAATGGTTTAGTTCCCTGTATGATAAAATGTTTATTTGGTGTAGTTTGTATTTGGTGTAGTTTGTATGGTTCCGTATCATCACGGGTAGAATTCTCCACTGTGTATGCTTGCTTGATCCACGGCCAACCACCAAGTTGCAATACGTTAAGGGAGTCGAAACAGAGACTATTAGTACCGTTTTCTTGAGATGAAGTAGCAGCCTAGCACTAGTCTTGCGGAGCAGCCAAATTGAGCCCATCAATCCAAACAGATGTAGTATGTTAGCAATCAAAGTTGTCAGTTGGGAATTTCATAAATCTGGATTCGTGTTTCGTTCGAACTCAAAAAATTCCACACGCATGTACAGCTTCTTCCGCTGGAAATCTATTCATCGTTGGGCCCGATGACGAAGGGTGATATCAGTGATAGATCAGCCAGCAAACCGACCAGGAGACGGACGACGATGCTACACGGTCAAGTTAGACTCAGCTTCAGCGTAAAATACAAGAAATATATGAATGAAGGTGTCTAGATTAAATTCCTCGCCCATATGAAGAGAAGTAGATGCCTCTTCAAAGCTATTCCCTCCATTCCAAATTACTTGTCGCACGTATGGATGTATCTAGATGTATTTTAGTTCTAAATGCATCCATTTCAGCGACGAGTAATTTGAAACGGAGGGAGTACAAGGCATGTCCCCCCGAAAGTCACACGGGCAAATAAATCTCTAGAAGCAGCAATAATAGTTGATATGACGCAAAGTCCAATATCGATAGCAAATAGGTATACAAGAAAAGATTTGCATGAGTACGCCCAGACAAGATAAAACATTTTACCTCCATTGCAAAAAGGCATATTTATGGTGGGAGCAAATAGCCGGCCGTTTAGCCGACAAAATATTATGAGTGTGGCTAGATCTCAATCGACAAGTATTAGTCAAGTCACACAACGTATAAAAACGAAGAGAAAAAACTAAATAAAATTTCGCACGGATCTCCATGTAAAATCGCACGGATATGGCATCGACTAGGCCTTCAGTCGACCGGGATTTAGCAATCCTGAAATAGGGATAAGTACATATTTTGTCCCTCTACTCTTTTCAAAGTATAGAAATGGTCCCTAAACTTCAAAACCGGTAAACCTTGGTCCCTCAACTTCTCAAACCAGATAAGTTTAGTCCCTCATACCACTTTTGGTGGGTTTCATCCGATGTGGACACGGTTTTGACTAAAAATATGACATGTCATTCGGGTTTGACTGCCATTAGGCAGGCCACCGTGCCCTGCATGTAGTGCCACTGCCACCACAACCGAGCACTTACAAAGCGTGGGGTGCCATCGCAGCTCCGTAACGTGGCAGTCAAACCCCAATGACTTGTCAAGTTTTAGTCAAAACCGTGTCCAATAGGGATGAAAACCACAAAAAGCGGTATGCGGGACTAAACTTATCTGGTTTGAGAAGTCAAGGGACCTAGATTTGCTGGTTTTGGAGCTGAGGGTTCGTTTCTATACTATCGAGAAAGTTGAGGGACGAAAAATATACTTTTCCCCTGAAATGTCATATTGCAGCATCCCTATGTCAATGGATGGAAACCCTTGCCAATCATGCATGTATGTACCAAATCGAATCGACTTCCTTTATCTAAGGAAAGGAAAATCCGAAACGTGGGTATGCATGAATCGATCCAGAGAATATAAATACTCAGCAGATGGTACTACGAGAACAATCCACACCGATCGAGAGAGAAACGCATGCACCTTGAGATCGATCGATCGGATCGGAAGATCGTCGTCATGGCTGGTATCGCCGCACGATGGGTGGCCCTTCTTCTCGTCCTCGTGTCGCTGCTCGCCTCCGCCTCCGCCTCCGCCTCCGCGAGTAAGTTTTACTTCCATGGATCGATTCTTGTTGCATCACACGTACGCTGGACTGACGAACGGGCTGATGATTGTGTTGGTTGTGCGTGGTGCAGCAGCGTCGTCGTCGGGGGAGCCGCACTGCTGCGTGGACCACCACGTGTGGGGCAAGGCGCTGGAGAACAAGGGGTGCAAGCGGGAGGAGGAGGACGACGAGTGCGACGCATGGTGCCAGTCGGCCTGCCGCGGCGGCCAGTGCAAGAGGCGCGACAGGCTCCACTACTGCCACTGCTACTGCTGACCTCGCACGCACGCACGCTCCAATTTTTGCTCCGCAGGCCGCAGCGACGCCTCCCCTCATTGCTAGTACTTGTATTAGTTTTGCTTCTATGCATCATGCATGGGTATTCACACTAATAATGTTATAGTGGAATATGATTTTTATTGCGCTGTTTTTGTTTTTGTTTTTATACTTTTTGTTAGTAAGAAAACATTGCGTAATAAGTAGGATATGCCATTAGTAACGTAGTAGTCTGAATAGAGATTAGCGCCATACGACAGGTGTGTGGTCTAACACTTTCATGTCCCTTTTTTAGGGAAACTCTTTCATGCTGATGGGTATCTGAGTGATTTGAGAAGAGGAAGAAGAAAATGAAAAGAAATCAGATTAGAGCATCTCTAGCCGATCCTAAAAACCTATAAAGGAGATTTTACTCCTTTAAACCGGGCCTAGCCGAAGTCCTAAATCCAATAGAGAGTTTTTACTCCTCGGCCCCACCTATGAGTAAAAACACTCGGCCTGGAGGCGGCTGAGTAAAATCTCGTGGCTCTTCTTGCTCCCCTCCGACCCCGATTCCACCAAGCTGCGTTCCACCATCTTCCACCTCGGGCCGCCACCATCACTGCATCCCACCCCTTTTGTCACCGCTATCGGAGTTGACCAATTTGGCTGAGCCTCGTACGGCCTCTCCCACTAGTAGGAAACGAGCCATTAGTCCCGGTTCATAAAGGCTTTTAGTCCCGGTTGTGCAACCGGAACTAAGCAATCGGGACTAAAGGCCCCACCTTTTAGTCCGCATCATGTTACGAATCGGTTTTAGATGTTCCTTCGAGTTTTGTTAGGGTTTGTGTGTTGCTCAGGAAGACGAGACGGCGGTGGCACCCTGAGGATGGAATAAGGTCCTCCCTGCCTAGCCCCCGTCTGGGTGGTGCGTCTAGCATCATTGGTAGGTGGGTGAAGGTGCGTCTCCGGTGGATCTGTCCTTGGTGGATTTCCTCGTTCATGTGTCTTCAAGTTGAATCCTTTCGATCTACATTACTCTTCAATAGCGACCGTTGCTGTTCAGGTGCGCTGGTTCTACAGGGCCTTAGCACGATGACTTCTCGACCGTGTACTATAAAAAATGGATGGGTGAGGACCACAATGCGCCGTCGGCTCGTTTAGTGCGTGTAGTCATCACTAGGTGGTGTATGAATCTGAAGGTCATTCTTTATTATTTCTTGTGTTTGTTGTACTGTGACGATTGAACATGAATACATCGAAAGTTTTTTTAAAAAAAAAAAGCTGCCGGGGGAGGATCCTGACATCCGCATGGTGCTTAGGATAGACATGCTCCAGAAGGCAGTCATTTATCGACCGTACCAGCAAAACGCATCAAACAACTGTTGTATATGCAGTATTAGAAATGGAGAGCGCCTTCCTTGTTATGCTATTTTAACTAGATATTAAAATTCCATGATTTGGTTGTACACTAGCATGCATGGACAGACCAGATTGATCACTGTAGCAACAAAACACTATGGGCGTGGTCCTGTAGATGAATCACTGTAGATGTTGTAATGTGAATGTACTGTAGACTGGGTATTGTTCATGTCATCCTTGGCTGCTGGATCATGATTTGACGGAGGAGCAACAGTTGAGAGACGCCCGTGTCGCCCCCCGCAGGCGACCCGGGCGAAACCCTAGCCGCCGGGCCGCCACCCCTCCCCTATCCCCCTCCCCCCTCGCCGCCGCCGGCAGGCGACCCGGACGAAACCCTAGCCGCCGGGCCACCACCCCTCCCCTA